TTATCATTTCTGCTATGTTCCATTGGTGACCCAGATCAACCCTCGTACAATGTGGAAAGAAATCGTACAAAGGTATGTACACCAGAAGCTGAGGATCATTGGCACATACCTTGTCGTTTGGCTAACACACATACTTAATGGATTTTTACCTTATATAATGAACTAATAATGTATGACACAGCTGTTTTTTTAAGTTTATTGATTTTAATTTGAGAGAGAGAGGAGGGGAGAGCATAAGTGAGGGGGAGAGAGAGAGAGAGAGAGAGAGAGAGAGAGAGAGAGAGAGGGAATCCCAAGCAGGCTTTGCACTGTCAACACAGAGCCTAATGCGGGGCTCAAACTCATGAACTGTGAGATCATGACCTGAGCCGAAATCAAGAATTGGACGCTTAACCAACTGAGCCACCCAAGTGCCCCAAGACACAACTGATTTTATATAGCAAATTATAAAAGTACATTTATGACTAATAAGATGTGATAAGGCAAGGCGGAAATCGGATTGGTACATACATATTCTCATTTTGGACAATTTGGCAGGTGTTGGCCAACTATGACCCTGAGACCAAATTTATCCCACCATCTGTTTTTGGAAATGAGGTTCTCTTGTACCACAGCCAAACCATTCATTTATGCGTTATCAATGTCTTCATTTGCATTAGAATGGCAGAGCTGAATAGTTCCACAGAAACTAGTCCAAAAAGTTGAAAATATTTACTATCCAGATCTCCAGAGAAAGTTTCATAACCCCTACACTTAAGATATAAAGAGAAAAAATTCAAAAGGTGTCAAATGATGGAAATGAAAAAAGGCATTTACATGTTCCAAAGATTTAGGTAATTGAAAGAAATTATAAGGCTCCAATTAGCATATCCATATAAGGCTTTTTTAAAAAGGCAAATGATATAACACAGCAGGAGAGAATTCTAATAAGCATTTGGGACCAAAAAAAACATGCAGGACCAACCTCCCCAGTGTTCTTCTTACTTCCCCGAAGGCATGATTCATCTCAGAATGGAACCGCTGATATTTGTGCTGATACTTATGTGACCAAAGTTGGTTTTAGGAGAGCTCAGGCAGAAGTTTCCAGCATAGCCTGGTTGTATAGCCGAGACAGGATATCTAACTCATTATCAAGTATATGTTATAAGTAAACAAATTGGTTCTAGGTGCCATGCAGGAAGTTTGAACTTTAAAAAACTTATATTTTTTATATATTTTTATATTAGTTTTTATATTAGTTTATATGTTAACTCTCTTAGTTATTTAGTTATTTAGCTAACTCACTGGCCCTACCCATGGCCAAGAGTCACAAAGCAACTTTTTGGGGCGCCTGGGTGGCTTAGTCGGTCAAACATCCGACTCGATCTCAGCTTAGGTCTTGATCTCAAGGTCATGGGTACAAGCCCCATGTGGAGCCCACTTAAAATGAAACAAAACAAACAAACAAACAAAAAACTACCAACTCTCAGCATCCCTGAAGATAAGCAAAGAGCTGTCTCAAGCCAGCTATACAAAAATCATCTTTAATAGGTAACTTAAATGTCAGTAATGGAGGAACTAAGAATTAATATATTGGAAAAATTTAAAAAGTACTATTTATCCTCACATTTATGATTTCATTTCCTACTTATCTTACCAGGAATCAAAAGGTAATGTTTACATGCAATCAACTATGTAGGAGCACTTACAGTGTATATTGTAAGCTTTGTTGGTATGATAGACACATGACTCTCACACTCCTATGCCCTGGCCTATGTCTGGACAGTCTCCTGCCCTTGACTTTCCGTGAGATTTATGAAGGTGATGGGGTGTTCTCTGCGATTAGATTACATTACATGGAAAGGTCTGGCTACATTTCAGGTGTGATTAAGGTTACAAATTAGTCAATTTTCAGTTAGTCAAAAGACAATATTATGGCTCCACCTGACTTAGTTGAATACTTAAAAATGACTCCAGAGGTGAGAGAGAGAGAGGAGTGTGCACCTTCTGGCCTGAAGAAGTAAGCATTCCTGAAGTGACTGTCTATGGAGGGGACAGCCACTGGGGGTGAGGGTCTAAGTCCTACAACCAAAAGGACAGAATTCTGCCACCAGCCTGAATAAACACGGAAGGGGACTCTAAGTTTCAGATAAGAATGCAGCCTGGCCAAAACGTTAATTCCAGCCTTGTGAAGCACTGAGCTAAGGTCTAAGCCAGGCCCGGCTTCTGGCCCATAGATACTCTAACATAAAAACATATGCTGTTTTAAGTTTCTAAATCTACCATAACTTGATATGCATCAATATGTAACATGTATTACACATATTAGGGTAATATGCTTAAGAAACAAGATAAAATTCAGGAAGGATAATACCTTGCCAGTATTATATTGTTATTTTGTGGGGGGTTTTCAACATTTCCTCATGTCCTTTCATTAGTTTTACATTCAACACTGAGATATTTACCCAACTAGATCCTTCCATGTGCATTATGAGCCTATTTCATAGAACAAAAGTAAAATAATGTTTTTCCCTGAAAAATAATCAGAAATGACACGTTAGAAGGGAAAAGAGATATTTAGTAGAAAGACCTTTACATAAACAATCTTTCCTATCCCAGTGATGACAAAGATATTTTCAGGATGAAGGAAAGCAGCTTATAAGTAGGAGTGGGAGGAAGAATCGTAAAAATGAAATGTAGCTGTGGCACACGGGTGGCTCAGTCAGTTGAGTGTCTGACTCTTGGTTTCAGCTCAGGTCATAATCCCAGGGTCATGAGATGGAGCCCCACCATTGTGCTCTGAGCTGAGTGAGGAACCTGCTTAAGATTTTCTCTCTCTAAAGTAAAAAATAAATAGATAGCTAGATGATAGCTAGCTAGCTAGATAGATAGATAGATAGATAGAAAGATAGATAAAGTGTGCGTCTCATGGTCATGGACCTGATGCTGTGAGAAAGACACACTACTGTGGGAGACTAGTATTCTTTCCATCATAATGCCCGAAAATGATAACGGAGTTCGAAAAGAGCATCTGGGCTATAATTGGGAGGCTACAGTAATTTTCCTCTCTCAATAGAGACCATTTTTGACATGGATTACTCTCTGAATTAGATACCATCCATCATATTTAGCACCTTCTGTTCCCTCATTGCTCTTGAAATCGTAATGAATATACATAAATTCTGAGTAAAATGGCGACTCGGGCTTTCAGCCCCTCACAGGTTCATCCTGGACAAACTTATAAAACATAGACTGTTCTTGGTTCACTGCAGAGAAAACCACTCCAAGGAGAAAAGCAAACAAAAAAGCCCAGAGGAAATGGCCTTATGGGAGGAGGAGAGGAAGATGGGGTACTGGGACAGAAGACTAGTGACTTTCATTATAAGTTTATCTATACTATTTTTAATGTAATTGAAAATATATTGTTTTGAATTTACACGAAAACAAAGCCCAAACATTTTAAATACCCAGAGAGTGGAATGCGTGTTCTCCTAGTCGAAGTTAAACGTTTGACTTACATCATCTTGTCTTTTTCAGGATATAACTTACGTGTTCTTCTCTTAAACTTTATATGAGAATGTGAAAAGTTCAGTTTGTTGTCTTACTATGTTTTTATTTTGAGAACTAAAACACACACAAGGTCCTTTTCTCTTCCTGGCTCTTTATTGAAAATCAACGTGAGGCTCTTAATTATTATTTAATTGAAATATAAAAATAGAAAGCAAAGAGACATGTCAATATAAACTTTTAAAGATGTATATATAATAGTTTTACAAAAGGGAATTAGATTTTTGTATGTGTGAGGTTAGGAAAACCTAGTCCAGGGCATAAATACCTGGCCTTATTATGTTCTCACTCCCTCTTTGACATACCTAGAACTCCTTCAGTTAAATGGCTTGTTCCTCCCCCACAGAGGAAGGGAATTGTTCAATATTTGACACATGACTTTTACGGAGAAGGTTGGGACTTATTAATGATTAAGATCTTCAATGTACACCTCAGTGAGTATTTACTGATGGATAAGCATAAGGCAAGAGAGATTGGTAGAGTGAAAAAATAAATATTGCAAATTTATGTGATCAGGGCTAAGATTCTATTTACCCTTGCAACATTTAAAAGTTTCAAAATTGTTCTATAAGAACTCAGGACCATCAAGAAAAGAAACACAAATATGTTCCCTTCTAAAGACAGATGATACACATGAGAAAGCTGTCATATGACATTCTAAGCTCTAAATTAAAACACAGATATACAGGTATCCAGCCTTACAAAGATCTGAAAGGACATTGATATATATCATTTGATATGAATTATTTTATTTGAATTTCCACAGAGAAAATTTACAAGAATAAAGGCATACAAATATATTACATTTAATATTGAACATATGCATTAAATCAAAATATTCCTTTCTTGACCTTGACGCTTTATACTTTGAGATATAGGTACAGAAATTTCATCAATTTTATTATTAATTATTCATTTTTATTTACTTTTTAATTTACATCCAAGTTAGCTGGCATATAGTGCAGTCATGATTTCAGGAGGATATTCCAGTTATTCATCCCGTACGTATAACACCCAGTGCTCATCCCAACAAGTGCCTTCCTTAATGCCCCTCTCCCATTTTAGTCCATCCCCCCCCACAACCCCTCCAGCAACCCTCAGTCTGTTCTCTATATTTAAGAGTCTCTTATGCTTTGTCCCTCTCCTTGTTTTAATATTATGCTTGCTTCCTTTCCCTTATGTTCATCCATTTTGTATCTTCAATTCCTCATATGAGTGGTCAGATGATATTTGTCTTTCTCTGACTGACTAATTTCACTTAGTATAATGCCCTCTAGTTCCATCCATGTCGTTGCAAATGGCAAGATCTCATTCTTTTTTATTGTAATACTCCATTGTATATATACACCACACCTTCTTTATCCATTCATCCCTCGATGGACGTTTGGGCTCTGTCCATAGTTTGGCTATTGTTGGTAGCACTGCTATAAACATTAGGGTGCATGTGCCCCTTCGGAACAGTACACCTGTATCCCTTGGATAAAAACCTAGTAGTTCAATTGCTGGCTTGTAGGGAATTTCATTAATCTTAAAACACAGGTTTCAAATATATGAAAATTGTGCCATAAGACATAATTTGAAACATTTTACAGATCCCTACAGTAGAGGTAAAGTCATATTCTCAGTACCACTGAACCTTCATTATCCATCCCTTCCACTCCAAGAAGCACCTAAATAAGCTGTTGCTTACATATAAAACGGTATGTACTTCCACAGGGTTCATCCAAAGCAGTTTGGCTTGGGCTATATACCACACATTTCTTTGAATCAAATTTTTGAACTAATGGCAATCTGTAACAAAAAATAAAATGTTAACATATTAGAAAAGGGAATCATATTCAGGAATAGTGTTTTAATTAAATGATAGAACTTTTAAAAGCACCTGAATGAAATATTAGCACAACGAGTCAAGTTTTTTAATTCAGACGCCACGTTTTCACAATTTCAGAGCACAATATTACAAAAACACATCACTGCCTCCATAATCAACAACATTAAGGTCAAGGATTTTATCTTTTTGCTGTTGTTATTAATGGCTTTGATATACGATATGCTTTGCTTCTATTTTGTTCAAAGATATACTGGTTACTCTAGCCCAGGAAAACAAATCCAAGCATAAAATTCATCACTACCTGATCCGGAAAATCCCATACTTATGATTGAAAATGAGATCTAAGATTACAAAACACAGAAAATAAGTTCAGAATATTTGAAGCACGGGAGGATGCCGAGAATATGGGGCTCAATAAGAGAAAATAAAATAATAGATACACTATTTTCCCTGGACAGCTCCTGTGAACCTGAGCATCTGTACATGCACATACACATCCAAATGCTTATACAGGGCAAAAAAATGCTGAAAGCTGTTTTATGGTCACAAATACACTAACCTCATGTCACTTGAACATAAGTTTGAATGACCTAAATGGAACTAAAATTGATATTCTGTTATATCTCCTCTCTTTTCTGTACTTTCATGCCTTAGAGAGGTTATCCTTGCTACATTGTTCCCAAATGTTACATTCTCTGGTGAGATCTACAGATAAACTCATAAAGAACTAAAAAAGACCTTGACTGCCAGAAACTTACAGATCTTGGGAGACATTGGAGTTGTTTTCCCACAACCAGGCACCATGTTCTTCACTGTAATGGAGCCCAATCCAGTAAAAGTTTGTATTGAACCTCATAAAATGCTGATTGGAAACAGAGACAAACATGATAATTTAATTTGAGTCTACTCTGGGAATAATGTACTTTTAACAAAGTGGTAGCATTAGATCCAGCCTTCTAATCACACAAACCGAGATCATTTTTAATGTCCAGTTTAAAAAGCATAGGTGCAGGGCACCTGGGTGGCTCAGTCGGTTAAGCGTCCGACTTAGACTCAGGTCATGATCTCACAGTCTGTGAGTTCGAGCCCTGCATTGGACTCTGTGCTGACAGCTCAGAGCCTGGAGCCTGCTTCAGATTCTGTGTCTCCCTCTCTCTCTGCCCCTCCTTGCTCATGCTTGCTCTCTCTGTCTCTCAAAAATAAATAAACTTTAAAAAAAGTTAAAAAAAAAAAAGTATAGGCATTTCCCTCATATGTTCTTCCTTATGGGCATAAGCACCCATTCATTTGTGATCCATAAATAAATACCACCAAATATTCCTTCTTAAAGGAATAAAAAACGTTAGAAAAACGTTAAAGTTTTCATGGAACACCTCCTTCACAGATTACAATCTAATTTGATCCCACATTAACGGTATCATAGATATACTTGACTCAACTTATATTCAAAACAGGTTCTTCACGCAGCTAGAGAATTTTGTCAACTTTTCTTAAATTGGGTAATGTTTTGATCATACTTTCTATACTTATTGCATACTGTATCCCGGAATGATGATAAAAGATATATATTACAAAAGAAATTATAAATTCAATATACAAACTAAAAATTACAAAGTTGTTTTAGTAGTCTTTGAATTTAAAAAATGGCCTATTATTTGTTCTTTGACTTCTCTCCAAAAAGTTTCTTGTACTTTATCTGGATGCTAACTTGATATTTATTCCTGTGATGTGAATGGATTTTATATAGATTTTATAAGGATTGTTTTTAAGGTGTAGCAAATTAGTTAAGTCATTAGTTCTAATATAATCATCCATTTACTACATAATTAAAGATAAATCTAAGTATACTGCTTTCTTAGCATATTTTTATATGTCAAAAAAAATGTAGGAAACCAGAATTAAATACATGCCAATTCATCTATGTCTTGAATATGAAGTAGACTGGAATTCTGAGAAGCGCAGAAATCACGACTTTCTTTCCAAGTTTTTAACTCATCGGAAAAGAAGTAGCAGTTGCATCGGTTCCCAATCCACCTTTCTTGGCAAGAACAACAGTCAGTTTCTAAGAGAAAAAAAAACAAAACATGCTTGATGACATTCAATTTTTTCAATGCTATTTACTCATTCAAAAATCATTTGTTACTTATTCACTATTTTCCACAAATATTCTTTGTGAATCTACTATACATACCATAGTTCAGGGGATATTAATGTGAACAAATCAGACATAACCTTTTTTCCTAAAAGAGATCATATTCTAGAGAGAGTCAGAACTCTATCATTTCCAATCATTTGTCAGTGACATTTCATAAAAATTTAGGTAAGTATGCCTGAGAATAAGTCAGTATGTAAGAACATTGGGTAGCGGAGTGTCAATTTTAGGATGGCTAGAAGACTCTTTTCAAGGATGTGACCCATAAAATTGAGCTCTGCTGTGTAAACTAGATAAAGAGACATTTATGGGAAAATATTTTAGCACATTTCCTGAGTCAGAAAACAATATGGCGCACTGGGAGAATTCCAATGCTTGGATATTCTATTTTCAAAATAAAGATAAATGAAACAATTAGCTTGACGTCTGATCATACATTTTAATAGTGATAGCATCCTGAACATTTACTATCCCCAGTGATAAAAGTCAGGACACACGTAGGCACTCAAATCTTTTTCAAATGAATGGTGCCGAAGTGTAGGGTAGAAGGGTGGAGGTTACCACGAGCTGGAGAGTGGGGTAAATGCAGATATTTTGGTCAAAGGGGACAAACTTCCAGTGAGAAAGTGAATAAGTTCTGGGGACCTAATGTACAAAGTCACGGTTATAGTTAGCAATACTGTATGATACCTGCAAATTGCTTAAAAAGTAGATCATGAATGTTCTCACCACAGAAAAAGAAATGGTAACTATGTGGCATGATAGAGGGATTAATGTTATGGTAGTAACGATATTGTAACATATATGTATATCAAATCAACTTGTTGTAATACTTTAAACTTACACAACATCCTATGTTAGTGTCTGATTAGGGATGCAAAAAAGCTAAGGGAAAAAAGATAAATAAAATGTTATATGATTACAGAAGATGGTGAGACAGTTTGGAGAGCATTCAGAAAAAAATACTTTAACATATTGGACTTTGAGCTGGCTTTCCCTGCATAAGTAGGGCTTAAAATTGCAGAAATCTGTGCTCTCTATTGTAAGTCATGCAAGAAGAAGAAACAAAAATAAAGAGATATAAAAGTACCAGCTATGAGCAAACCGGCAGGAAATTAGGATTAACTGTAGTATTTACTGTAATCTATTTTTGATTTGCTACAGCACTGATGTAACATGAGCACTTATATAGGAAAAAATGTCATTTAGGCTAATATTTCCCTTATTGCTTATATATGTAAGGTATGCACATTCAATGTAACTTAACAGTTTGTACATTAAAATATAATGAAATGTGACTATCCTACAATTATCAGATAAACTCGTGTTGCTAAGGGTACATCATACTCTGTGTGAGGAAAACAAACCAAAACAAAACAAAACCCTGTCAATTCTATCCTCTACCAACACTAAGGTTTTCCAAAGTATGACACTTACCTTCTTGGATTTCTGTGGTTAGTCCTGGAGACATTGTTGGTTGAATACTTTGTTCACTAAGTACTGTAAGAAATGATTAGAAATTTATGTCATTAGATGCAAGTTTATGAAATAATAAAATATCACGCATTAGTAAAAAGAAACCTTCATGGTTAAATGATTTCATCACAGCTGTGATCTTTATACAAACTTGACTGGAAAAGCTGACAATTTTTCAGGGCTCCTGGGTGGCTCAGTCCGTTAAGCATCCAACTTCAGTTCAGGTTATAATCTCACGACTGGTGAGTTCAAGCCCCGCATTGGGCATTGTGCTGACAGCTCAAAGCCTGGAGCCTGCTTCAGATTCTGTGTCTCTCTCTCTCTCCCGCCTCCCTCCCTCTCTCTCTCTCTCTCTTTCTCAAAAATAAATAAACATTTAAAAAGTTAATAAAAGTAAGAAAACTTACAATTTTTCAACAAAATTCCTGTAGTAATCGTCAACGAAAGGCATATTACTCCTAAGATCCCAGAAATCAAATTCCATGGATTGATCTGAGAAGCTGTAGTAAAGGAGAAGTCCAATGATGACTCAAAAACCAAATACAGGAGGTGAAGTTCTTAAAAGCAACACAGGGCGAGAGAATCCAAAAAGTTCTTTCATTTGATAACCCCATCATCTTGCCAATGAAACATGAGAATGAGAATATCCCATTCAGAACTCCACCCAATAGCAAGAGTTTTATGTGATGTCATTTATCCTTTAGAGAGATTATCTACAACTCTTCTCCTTTCCCAGTCCTGTCTCAGCAAAGTAGATTTACTATTTATTGCCTAGTTCAGCAAAGAAGTTTAGGCATCTGGATTAAGAAGAAACCAAGAGGCATCAAATTGTGCCTTAGGGACTTAGCTAACATATTTATGTTTATTTTCTCAACAAAAATCACAAGATAATATGAGTCCCATTAAGTAGATACCAAAACTTAAGATCCATTCATAATGTTATTTTCTCGAGGTATAAAAGCTGGTACGTATCCAAATCAGAAAGCAAATGAAAGCTTGTCTAGGCCCAGCGTCTTTTATTCAGCATATGCGATCACCTCCACAATTGTACTTGGAAACGTGCTCTTTGATTCATCTGTTCATCTAAGTGCATTCTTTGCTCAAGAAATGTCTGGCTGCTTGTAGCTTTGTAGAGATTTTATAAGAAAGGGAGCACTGTGGCCTTATGCTCGAGATGAGGGTTTCCCCAACCAATGCATGGGTAATACCTTGGGACCTGGATTCATTTCACCGTACATTAAATTATGACCTTATATACATCACAAATGATAAACTTTCTAAAAAACCACTCTTAAGCATTGTCGTTAATATTTGGCATTCTCTATTTGCTTCTGTACCAGGTTAAGTTTGTTCATAATTTAATCTGACACATTCAGTTCGCATTCAGAGTTTAGAACTACCCCTGTCCGACGCCACTCTTTAAACCTGCTGGAAAAGCTTCAAAAAATCATTTCTAAGTTACAGATGAAGAATCAGAAGTGGAAAGGGCTGATACATGGAACGCCTAAAAACATCCACTTTTTTTTTTTCCCCTAAAAGCACTGCCCTGAAATTAGGACTACCCATGAGATGTCTTTTCTGGTTAATTTCATTTTTAAAAATTTGATGACTTGGGCCCCACATACCTGCCATCAGGAACGTTCCTGGGTCGATGCTGGCAAAGCACAATTTGTGCTTAATCAAGAAGAATGGTGCTATGTTGGTTCAGGGAGCCAAGCTGGAGGCTGAAGAATCCAAAAGTCATGTATGAAGAAATTTAACAGGAAAAAAAAAGAAAAACTATATATTTGAGCAATGCTCTTGAGTCTTCTATTGGTGAATGAATAGTGTGAACAAGAAGCAGTAAGTCACTTCTAAAATGTTCCCAGAACCACAAGACAGGAAATTCTCACCGTACATGTGTAATGCAAACACTTTGACTATCATAAAAGAAAATGAGAGGGATTTTTTAAAAATATATGAACATCAAACACATTTCTAAAAACCATTTGGAAAATGGGAAATTTGGGGTTTTCATCCTTGAGCCTACTGGTAATCTGGGTTGAGATGAATTGTTACACTGTTTCCTGTTTTCTTGTCTCAAATTTCATACCCTGAGGCTTTACCTTTAGTGCAATTCTATGAAATGGAAATTGAATTGCCCTGGTGTTACCTCGGGTTAAACGAAAAAAAGACTTCAGAAGAGCAGCAGAACTACCAGATACTTAACAGATTATGGGAGAAGGCAGAGCCATACTCCCAAAACCAGGTACTAAGTGAATGTCTGACCTAATGTGGTAGGGAGTCCATAATGCGCTAGTCAAACATGTAAAATAAATACCAATCCCTGCAGCCCCAAATACACAAACAGTCACATATTTATATATTTATTTTTGCCTACACAACTTTGAGCACACTGCATTTTGAGTACATTAATGAATGACACCAGACTGAACTATTTAACCTCACGCTTCCAAATCGTTTTCTGTTGTAATAAGCGAGTAATCACACGACTCATTTCTCTCTGTCTCCCCCTCTCACTTTCTTTGCCCATTCCCTTATGGATTATGAATCACCACCACACTATACTCATCATTGGAGACATCAGAATGTAAATGTCTTAAACAAAGCTTCCTTTCTAACTCATTAGACATCCCATCTTGGGACATCTGAATTCAGTGAAACTTTATGCGTTGAGCAGTTGGGCATGTCCTATAGTTTGGTCAGCAGGAGTTTCAAATGCAGCCATAAGAACTTCTTTCTTAAAAGGATGGGCTATTTTTGCATCCATACCTCTAATATGGTTCCACATGTTATTTCAGAGATGTAAAAAAACTACGTTATCTTAAAACAAATGGTAGGAATGAGTTAAAATTGTTATGACTCAAAAAAGGTTTCACTGATTGTCGAATAAAACAATGGATGAGAATGAAATTCTACTCCATTTTAAAGCCATGTAATAGAGTTATGGTTGCCTATTTTATCTCCAATCACCTAAAATACAAAACATGAACCTAATAATTTTATTTAAACAAAACATCACATGGTAAGAACATTGAATCCATACTTTTGTTCATGATTAAGGACATTTTAGTTTCATAGAAACCCGGGTGTGTGCATTTTATTATTTAATAATGATCTACTTTTATTCATTGTACATTTTCCTGAGAGTTTCATAACCTTTCTCCAGAAACCTGAATTTTATGCTATCCATGTAATTTGTTAATACATCTTATGTCAGTTTTATAATGAATATTTCAGTTATTTATTTACAGTAAACAACCAGATAATTTATTCAAAAGTTCATTCAGTGGGGCTCCTGGGTGGCTCAGCTGGTTGAGAATCTGACTCTTGATTTTGACTCAATGATCCCTGAGTCGTGGGATCAATTCCCACATCTTAGTGTGGAGGCTGCTTAAGATTATCTCTCTCTAGGGGCGCCTGGGTGGCTTAGTCGGTTAAGCGTCCGACTTTCGCTTAGGTCATGATCTCGCGGTTCGTGGGTTCGAGCCCCGTGTCGGGCTCTGTGCTGACTGCCAGCTCAGAGCCTGGAGCCTATTTCAGAGTCTGTGTCTCCCTCTCTCTCTGACCCTCCCGTGCTCACACTGTCTCTCTCTCTCTCCTAGAAATAAAAAAAAAAAAAAAAAACACCATAACTTAAAAAAAAAAAAAAAAAGATTATCTCTCTCTATAAGGCACCTGGGTGGTTCAGTCAAATTCTTAACTTGGGCTCACATCATGATCTCATGATTCTTGAGTTTGAGCCCTGCGTTGGGCTCTGCAGTAACAGTGCAGAGCCTACTTGGGATTTTTTTTTTTCTCCTCTCTCTCTGCCCCTCCCCTCTTCATTCTCTCTCTCTCTCAAAATAAATTAAAAACATTTTAAAAAATTTTAAAGAGTCTCTCTCTCTCTCCCCCTCTGCCAGTCTCCCTCCCTTGCACATTCTCTCTCTCTTTAAAATAAAAAGTAAAATAAAAAATAACTTGAAAGTCCATTCAATGTCTAACAATCAAATTAATAGTGTTCAGCTTAATTTTGAAGTATTTTCAATATCTCCCAAAGGAAAATATGTGATATTTCTTTTGAGAAAATATTGATTCATCTCACTCTCTACCTGAAATACACTGAAATTGTGGCAATCAGAGAAGACCCCAGTTCTCTCGCATCTGTGCTTCATTATGGAAGAGTATCCCTTTCAATGTATTCCCAGTCCGCTCTGGAACAGACAGAGAAACAGGAGGAAGAGACAACTTCAGAAAGAAAACACTCCTACTAAAACTGAAATTTGAGCAAGATCTTGTAGGATAAATTGGACTTGAAAATACAGAACTGTGGCTAATGTAAAGTGAGAAATAGATAACACACATGCCTTGAACCAAAACCTAAGATAGAAAAAGTTCACCACATATTTTCTTCCCATCTTTTGAAATAAAGTATAACATGCATGTTGAAAAGAAATGAAAGCAAAAATCCTAATTAACTGTCAGAGGCTACACCTGCAACTATAACACCCATCAAGAAATTAAACATTTTTGGCACCCTCATGATCTTTCCTCACTTAAACTTGTTAGTACTCTCTTTCTCCTTCCAGATATTACCACCATCTTGACCTCCAAGACCATTTTGACCTCTAAGGTGAACTAAAGGATCATTTAGTTTTTCCTATTTTTAAAATTCACATAACTAGAACAATATAATACAAACTCTTTTGTATCTAGCTTATTTTCCTCAAGTTCTTGACAGAGTCTTCCAAGGACTCCTTTCCATCTTGCTGACATTGCCTGGGCCAGGTGCAAGTTACTGCATCTAGTAGATGAGACACACTAATTGATTTAAATCAGTTGGGGTCCGATGTGGATACTAGAGTGGGGTCAACTTTACTCAAAATAAAATGAAGAGCAAGGATTCATTTAAAGGAAATCTGAGAAAGCAAATCTCTAAAGATGAAACTTGGGAAGTTGTTGCTCCCTCTCAATATTTCTTTGTTTTCTGTTTAATTTCCTTTTTTTGCCCCTTAAAAGTAGGTCTTTATGAATCAGTCTACCACTGATCCCCATGTGAAAGTTCACTTTGAAGCACAGTGAAAAGAGAAGAGTGAATTTCTCCTGTACTAATTGTACTCAATTCAAGTCCAGTTTCATCAAGAATCTGTGTTATACCAGATGAGTAATGACTTCCATGAGCTTTGATTTAAAAACATTTAGCACAGGGGTGCCTGGATGGCTCAATCGGGTAAAGCATCTGACTCTTCTGCTCAGGTCATGATCTCACGGTTCATGAGTTTGAGCTCCACATCCAGCAATGCACTGGCAGAGCTTGGGATTCTCTGTTTCCCCTCTCTCTCTGGCCCTTTCCCGCTTGTGCTCTCTCAAAATAAGTAAATAAACTTAAAAATAAAAAATAAATAAAAATTAAAAAAAAAAAAGAAAACATTTAGCACATCCACCATTTCTGAATTTACTGTTTCTGATGTGTAATGAATGTTTGGTTAAAGAATATAATGGTATTTGACTTAGGACAATGTAGCTGAGACATAAGAAAGAAAGAGAAATTGAAGGTAGTAAGTGCTAATATCAAGACAATAAATATACTATCTTCTCTTAACCTATTTTTTTCCATGTTTTATTTTGCAATGAATATAGATTGACAAAAAGTTGCCAAATTAATACAGTGCAGGTAGTTCCCTTGGACCTTTCACGCAGTTTCCCCCATGATAATATCTTACATGATTAAAGTACAGTATCAAAGCCAAGGGATTGACATTCATACAATCCATAAACTACTCAGATTTCACCAGTTTTATATGCATTTCTTTGCTTGAGTGTGTGTGGATGGGCATAGCTTTATGCAACTTTGTCTTGTGTATAAATATATGTGACCACCATCATTTAATTTCTGTTTTCATACTTTAGAAAATAATTACCACCATTTATTTTGTGACTATGAAGTTTGGTTGTTAAAGAAAAGGTAAGGTAAATGACTGGAACTTTTCCTTTGTTTATCAATTTTCATTTTAATGAGCTGATTTAGTAAGGGGAAGTTTTAACATTTATTGAACACATATCAGATGCTCATTCTAGTGTTTAATTGAATGCCTTATTGAGTGTATGAGTACACATTTACCATTACCAGTATATTAAATCCTAATGAAGCATTTTGGCCTTCTACTAATTTACTGTAGTAGAAATTTATTGATACATCAGAAATTCCATTTTATCCAGTCTTTTCTGTAATATAAAGATCACACAAGTATACCCAGAAATAGGAAATCATTTAAATTTCCCTCACCTTTGAATATGATTGTCCTAGAGTTAAAGATTCTCACATTTTTTAAAATTGAGTAGCCAGATTCTTATTGGTCATTCAATTCTACCAATAGAAATTTCCTAAGAGTTGGCTAGGATTATTCTTTATGGGGTCTGGCTATGGCTTTCTCCAAGTAATAGAGATGATCATCTCTTAGCTCCATTAAGTGAGCAAAATATTTGCCATTAGTAGAAATGCTTATTTTCCAGTTCTTATTTAATACACTGCTTTCATTTGATCTCCAATTTGTTACCCAGTATCTGTGCAATTGTATTATGGGTTTTAGATACTGTATTGTTGTTTTGACAAGTAAGTATCATTTTAAAGTTGCAATTTAACTGACAGTTACAAATCCAGTTATGAATACTGACCAACGATGTTACACAAGAACGTTTCTCCTTTTTCCCCAGGAAGTTAGAAGTACCAAGAGACTGTTTTCCATTCAAAGCAATAAGGACACCTGGGTGGCTCTGCCAGTTAAGTGTCTCACTCTTGATTTCAGCTCAGGTCACGGTCTC